AGCATTTTTTTTGGATAATGATCCCACATTTATGGTTACATTTTAACATTTAGGTTAGGGATACACCACACTTTTGCAAATGTTTATCATATACAAATAGATGGTTTAGTGGAATAGCTCATTTGGATCTTTAAAGAGATGATCATGAAGTATGTAAACTTTAGCATTTGGATAAAAATGGTTATTTGCCATTTCTTTGGTATACATATATCATAAAGGTACAAAGTTTTATTGATGCTTTACCATATAAACTTTTATATAGTTATAATTTGATATTAACAATGGAATTGAGTTTACCTTTGTGATTGCTACAAGTTGTCAATACTAAATCTTGGGATTAGTATTTAATGAACATTCTTCCATTTGTTTGAGCAAAGTCTACTAAACATTTAAGCCACATACAAGTGGGATAACAATAGCATTACAATTCCCATTATCATCCAATTACAAAGTACAAAGTGGATGATTTAGTATTAGTTTGTTTTCTCAATTTTACAGTATGTGGTTTATCTAAAGGGCTTTTTGCTCAGTGGAAAGGACCATATTAAGTGTTGTAGCAAATTGAACTACAAGTTTATAAGATATTCAATAGGCTAATCTTCCAAAAATTTTACATATACAATAGTTGAAACACAAAATAATTAGAAATAACTAGTACTACCTACAGATCTACCAGTGCCTCCTCCTAGTGTTCCTCAAGATTCTGGTCTGTCAACCAACAAACCCTAACTGCCTTCTATCCTTCTGAGAGGATAGGATGATATGAGCTTTAAGTGTATAGTTACAATGCTATATATTAATATTAATGACCGTACACTAATATTAGTATAATGGGATTTTGATAGTTGTCATATTAACTTCAATCTAGACCACTCACTTTTGTATATAAGTTAGGGTTTTTGGGTTAATTGATATGCACATTTCTGTATTCCATATCCATATTCCATGCACTCATAGCTTTATTCTAAAAATATTTGTGATTTTTATAATTCAAAATATAAAAAGTTTTAAAATATTTTATATTAAAAATTATAATGTAATTTTAGCGTATTTTAGCTACATTTTTTAATTACTTTGTTTTACCACTATATTATATATTTTATTTTCTTATGGAAAAAGCCATATATTCTACTTAAGGAGTCCTCTAGTGAACACAAATGATACCCACTAAAATAATAACTATTTAGGAGTTTATAAAGTTTTATAGAAACTAAATTTCTTTTATACAGATTAAGTTAAAATTAAGTACCTCATAAAAATGGTCTGCATTAGTGGAATATGTTCTTATTTTTATACTGTTTTAATTTTTTTGATAGATAATTTTAATGGTTGTGATTTATTTTCTTACTATGGTTTAAAAATCTTACACTTCTGTTGGATCTTATGGTTGAGATAATTAGTACTATTTGATGGCTGGAAGAGCTTAAATTCTCCCTGCATGAAGGTAGGAGGAGTTCCTTAGCTGTTGTCTAAGTACTTTGGCTATTATTGTCCTGGTGCTCAATAAAGCTCTCTTTCCTACAAAAGCTCAAAATAAGAAGATCCTGTATTCAATCTCTCTTTTTTTAAGCTATACAAGTTGTTACAAACACAAGGAGATTGAGATTTATTTTGGAATAAGGTTAAAGTATTTCCTCTTATGTTTTTAAAGTTTGATTATAATTTATTTTACATTTGGGAGAGTTTGAAGATATACCAAGCTGGAAGTAAAGTTTAGTCTTGGATTTAGTGATCTAGAGTATAATATTATGGCTTTAGTGTTAAAAATATTAGTTCCCATTATTATTTTTTACAAAGCAGGTTTGACACTCCAACCTTGTAGTTAACAGCCACCATAACTTTATAATAATTATTTTTATTAATTTGAAAGATTATAATTTATTCCTAAAATAGCACAACAAGCTACAATCTTTTCTATTTGAACAATTTTCTATTTTAATAAAACACCTTTATGTTTATCTAGGCGAGCATAGTTAGATTCTTTTCTAGTTTCGTGCAAATTTGTCCAACTAACATCTAACAAAATATGGGTGAGATTATATTGTGATAGATTGTGAGCATATATTATGTTGGGATCTTATGCTTCTAGATAGGCACTGCAAGATCTAAAAGAAAGCATATATACGTATTACTTTATAAGTATTGCAATATATTAGTAGCAAAGTTGACTTCCTCCACTTCATATGAATTTAAAAATGTTTAAGTGATCTAGGAAACATTCATCCAAACTACTCAGAAAACCTCATCCAAACAAGATGAGGTTTTCCTGTATTATTTCATTTTTCAGCATACTATTTTCTTTTGCATTATGCACACATTTACCACCACTACCCCAATGTGTAGATGGAATAATCATATTTGGGGATTCTCTTTCAGACACAGGAGCCTCTGCTAATGTGTTTCCAAGTAATCCAGGAAATCAGTCTCCTTATGGTATAACTTATCCAGGAAGTCCAACTGGAAGATTTTCAGATGGAAGGCTTATTATTGATTACATAAGTATGGCTATGTGTGATTATGAACTTTTCTAACATCTTCTCGTAGGTGCTGGCTTAAAGTTCAAGTATCCAGAGCCTTATTTTGTGACTATTAATCCAGATTATAGGACTGGTGTCAACTTTGCTCAGGCTGGCTCAACAGCACTCAACACCGTCTTTCAAAATCCCATATATTTCTCTTACCAGCTACAACAGTTTTTGCAGTTTAAACAGAGATTACAATCAGGTTACAATTCAAACAGAGGTAATTATATTATAGCAATTATGAGAGTATTAATCTATTTTATTTTAATCTATTTTTGTTTTTAAACAGATGCATATAGGAAGTCATTACCTCCACCAAAGTTTTATCAAACTTTCCTTTATGCTGTAGAAATTGGAATTAATGACATTATTAATAATATAATCTACAACAATAAATCTCTATCATATATTGCAAACATTACTATACCACAAGCAGTTGCAGCTATCAAATCTTCTTTACAAGTGAGGTTATTTTGATTTCCAATAACCAAAACCTTAGCGCTGTTGTTTTGCTAGTTACTTTATAACGAAGGTGGTAGAAACTTTTTAGTGTTCACAATAACACCATTGGGCTGCACTCCACAATTTAAGACTATTTTTGCCTCTCCAAATCCGACAGCATATGATTCCTATCAGTGCCTTATTGCATTTAATAATATTTCTCAATATTTCAACTCAAAACTTGTGGACGCTGTGGTTTCTCTACGAAATCAATACACTGACGCCAAATTCTACATTGCAGATATGTATAACCCTTACTATAAGATCCTTCAAAATAGTTCAACTTACGGTAAGTTTGATGCTGATATATGCTATTTACTTAAACTTGAAGGCAGGTTTTACTAATATACGAGATGCTTGCTGCGGAACTGGAGCACCATATAATTATTCTCCTTTCCAAATATGTGGAACACCTGGTGTATCAAGTTGTCTAAATCCCAGTACTTACATATCTTGGGATGGTCTTCACTACACCCAACATTATTATCAAATAGTAGCAGAGTTCTTCTTAAGTGGAATATTTTTAGATCCATCAACGAAAATTTGCTAAACAGTAAGTCAAGAGCTGAATGAAGTTATTAATAATAGCTTGCTGCACACCTTGTTAAACATAAATCAATGTAAAATCTTTATATTGTTTATTATGAACACAAAATAAATCTAATTTTTATGGCCAAGGTTTATCTAATGCTTGCTAATAACGTCAAACGACAAGCCATTGTTTTGCAGCCTCTGCTCGTAGTCCGTGGTTCCAAACGCAACACCAGGAGTCCACACGCCACCTTTGGGGAGTTTATCGCGGTTTTCCAGCACGAGCAGCGCCGCCTGGACGAGAATGATAGGCGTCGTCACGTATCCAATCTCCGGACCTGTTACTCGCGTGATGATCTCCATGTCCGGTTGCTGTTTCTTCCCGGGCGGAACTTTGCTAGCGTCCTTGAAGCCGCGGCCCACGAACACCATCGAGAAAGAGGAGTTATCAATCTCCTCCTGCGAAGGCCCCGTCTTGCTGAAAACTCCGCCTGTGAAAACCTCCGGATAGCTGAGCAGGAGCTTTCTACCCCAACCAAAGTTTGCCAGGACGTAGAGAATGAATCCCGTGAGCAGCAGAAAGCAGACCCTCCAGAGCTCCTTGACGCTCAAGTAGACGCCAAAGAGCACAGGCTTGATGTCCGTCCACTGCTTTAAGGACTGTTCTTGATGCTTGGAAGCTGTAGGAAGGCCGTCTGGGTTCTCAGCTACTGTTGCAAGAGTCCTACGAACCAGGACTGCGTCGGACGAAGGGATCTTGACGGCCCAGGAATTTACTGCGTCCTCCCAGTGCACCGCAGGGCGTTTCAGCGGCACTCCTGGAATCTAGTAAACGAACAAAGTTATCCACGGAAAAAAAAAAAAAACAGGACGACGCACAAACAAACCTGGAGTCTTGGCGATTTAATTGGCCTCGACTTCCTGAGCTTTTGAAGCTCCCCAACGCTCGCAATTCCCAGGACCGCAGACTCAAAAGTTGCAAAGTTGCCTTTCATCCGCGTCGAGGAACGCAGCGTGAGATAGGCGTCAATGCTGTTGGGCTTCGAAGAGCCTTGCCACTGCTTCGTATTGAAGATGACCCCAAACTCCGCCGGAACACTGTCGAACCCACAAGCGGACACCACCAGACTTTCCCTGTCCACGGCCTGCTCGTGGTACTTGGCCCTCATCCTTTCCATGAACTCGGGCTCGCCAGTGATGTCCAAGTAGTCTATTCCAGCTTCCACGCAAGCAGCCACAACAGGCTCTCCATAAAGCCTGTACGGACCAACGCAGCTGACCAGCAACTTTGTTTTCGAGCACAACCCCCGAAGAGAAGCCATGTCGTGAACATCAGCCTCGAATATCGGCACGGACGACTTGAGCCTCTGTTCTCCAGACGTATGTCCGAGAGCCCAAGAGAGGGACTCCTCCAGCTTTTGGCGGCTTCGCCCAGCTATGCCCACCTTCCTGTCCTCTGGGAGCTTGCGGAGGAACTCACCCAAAACGCGCTTGCCAGTGAATCCAGAAGCCCCCAAGATGATCACGTCTGCCGCAGCGCTCTCCATCTTAAACAGACCCTAGGAACTGAACGGTGAAGTTCAAAACCAACAAATAAAGAAAAATGCAGATACTTTAGCTAGTCCAAGAGTGGTATTGCCTCCATGCTTCGATCGCTTCTGTAGCCATACGGTCGTTTTCGAGGATCCATCTTTCTGAAGGTCAGGGAGACTCTGCGGGAAAGCAAATCGTGACGTTAAACGAGCTGAAAATTCCTTTCAGCTAACCTCTTGGATGGAACAGCAGGAATGCAATGCTTTGCAACGTCAGCACCGTTATCATTGAGAACCAACACCGACCTGCAAAAGTTACCGCCATGAGAGAAGCCTCGAACAAAAAAAAAGGTGGAAAAACGAAAGGAGAGGACTTACCCCACCGGCAACTGTGTAGAGAAAGATCCATCAAATTCTCCCGGTGCAGCGACGGACAGGCTCGATCCAAATACAATGCTGCATTGGCTGAGCAGCGAGACGGTGCAGAACGGCCGTAGAAAGTCGTGGTGATCAATATGAGGTGGGATACAGTCGCCTATTTCATAGATGTTGACGATGCAGCTGTCTGGAACGCAGGTGGGAGAGAGGACATGCCAGCGAACGAGGCGCTTGATGGTCGACTTGAGTAGTGGCGGCAACGGATCAACTTCCTCGTCTTGCAAGATGCCTGGAGTATTTCCAAACTTATCCTGGACAACAAAAAGGCTTAGAAACTCTTCACGAGAATTTCAAATCTTACGTGAGAATAGTTGTAGCAGCATCCAAACTGAAGCGTGACTCTCCCTTTCCCTTGCATCCACTTCCGTGGAGCGGAATAAGTGCGTTCTAAAAGCTCAAAAGCCCACGTCAGTACCATCGTTAGAAAATGGATCAAAGACATGACCTTTGAGCTCGTTCCGCTGGCCTTTGAGCTCAAGCTCGAAAACCATGTCGAGAAGGCGAGACTGTTCCGCGGCACTGAAGATGTTGGTATGTAGCTCTAGACCTTGGAGTATGTTGACTCTCATGCCTTTGATCCACTCCATGCAGACAAAATCTTTTTTCCTGACGACTTGCAAGTACCTGATGTGCTCCCTTTCTTGAGGCGTCAGCACTTTCTTCTGGCCCGCCCTTTGAGAAATCGAGGCACTTCCACTCATCACAGACTGCGTTTCCGAGCATCCTTCTCCTTCTTCATCTTCTTCGTCTTCTTCTTCTTCTTCGCAGTCTTCTTCCTCTTTCTGGACCTTCGCTGCTCTGTGCATTGTACATGCCCCATCGACGCTGGCATACTTCCTGCCGATGACCTCAGCTAGCTCCAAGCCTGCGACCAAAAGCCACAAGAAAATTTCAACAAGCTCCCAGTTTTCCAAATCAAAGCTTACCTGTGGCGATCCCCGATAGTCTTGTCGACAAGATCTGGCAGCAGGACGGACACAAATCCTCGAATACGGCCGGAAGGGCGCCTGCGAGGATCTTCATCGCTTGCGAGAGCGCATTATCCGCAAAGATTTCGCCGCTGCGCCTCGCCTCGCTCCAATCTTTGCCGATCCTTGCCACAGCGGCATAGCATTCCAACGGAGCTGACAGATCGTCTATTACCTCGTCGGGGCGCCCAGCTTCCCCCATAGCTGGAAGAACCCTAGATTCTATCCCGCCCAAAATAAGGAATATCCAAGGTACGTTGTCCAGGCAACGAAGGTTGGCTCAAACGGCATGTGGACGAGAAGATCTTCGGCATATTCCAGCTGCCCCGTGCGAGCAAAGAGATCGACGATACAGACGTAGTGATCCACCTCGGGCAGCAAATCACAGCCGTCCGTCATTCGCTGGAAGAAATCCACGGCATCGCGTACGAGGCCTCCATGGCTGCAAGCAAAGAGAATGCTGTTAAACGCCACATGGTCCGGAGATATGCCTTCGAGATCCATCCACCGCCAGATTCGAACCGCGACCTCCTCGTACCCATTCTCGGCATTTGCTCCAATCAGCGCCGTCCACGCGGAGAGATCGCACGGGTGGATCTTGCGGAAGATGCGCCAGGCATCTTCCACACCGCCGTGCTTGCCATAGACGTTGATGAGCTCAGCTCCAATCCCAGCCATCCATTCCATGGCAGGGCTTTTGCTTGAGAAGGCCGCGTGAACGAGCTTTGCCTCGCGCAAGCTATGGCATGCCGGAAGAACTGAAAGTATCGTCACTCTGTTCACTTGGATTCCTTCCAGATCCATTCTCTTGAAGAGCTCAAATGCTTCTTTCGTATAACCAGACCGGGTATATCCTCCGATCATAGCGTTCCACGAGGAGATTCCCAGAGAGATTCCATAGGTTCCATCAAAGAAGCTCCTTGCATCGTCCAAGCGCCCGCATTTCACATACATGTCAATGAGCGAGGTCGTGATTTCCGGACTGTTACTAGAATCGCCAGCTTCGATCTCATTGTGGATCACTTTTCCAAGTTTTAGATCCCCCATTTGAGATATCGCTACAAGAACTGCAAGGTAAGTTACTTGAACCGGTGACTGGCCCTCGAGATCCATGCAACAAAAAGTTCTCACCGCATCTAAAATATGCCCAGTTTGGGCATATGCTGTAAGAAGAATATTCCAGGAGACAACGCTAGCCATAGGCATAAGTTGTAGCATCTTCTTTGCTTCATAGAAATTATTTACATGTGCGTAAACTGTTAAGATAACGTTCCAGGAAACCACAGTGTGATGTGGCATATTCTCAAACACCCTTCTTGCGAGGCACAGATGCCCATTCCTGGCATATGCTAGAATCATCCCCGTCCATAGCACGACATCTCGCCGAGGACGATCAAAGATAAGCTTAGCTCTCTCAAAACACCCAATTCTCCCATACACTTTTACCAGAGTAGTTCTCACCTCTAAGCTCGATTCAAGCTCGGGAATCCTTGCCAGAATTTGGTGGATTCGCTCCACCTCGATTCGATCCATACACGCTTCCAGCGCAGCAGTTATTGTGATCCTATCGAGATGAATCCCCTCCTCCACCATCGCCCAAAACAATTCTAGAGCTCTATATTCCTTCTCGCCGCTCTTCGCAAAAGCCCCAATCATGGAATTCCAGGACACAATGTCACGCCATGGCATAACGCTAAACACCACAAATGCCCGCTCTAGATGCCCGTTCTGGGCATTTGCTGTAAGAAGGATATTCCAGGACCCCACATTCCTTCCGTACATGGAATCAAACGCATGCCGCGACCTCTCCATGTCTCGTGCGTCTCCGTACATCTTAATCTTCTTATTGCCCCAGGAGCTTGTAATCACTTGCTTGCTGCATCGATTTTTGGTGGCATCCATCGATTCTTCCAATATATGATTGCCACATTGCCTAATTCTCACTCCATTCCATCCCATTGGCTGGGCTATTGCTATTGCTCGCTTCTTACTCTAAACGTTACACGAATCTTCACGCAAATAGCAGTAGAATATGCGATATTCGCTGGAAAGACAAACAGTGAACACTTAGATAACCGGCGAGCCTTTAAAAAATCAAAGAGGAAGAGCGCGCATGGCCTTCTTGAATATCATTTGGTAGGGTTTGTGCGTTTCTTGGCGGAGCTATGGATCATTGCTGCTGCGCGTCGATCTTGCTGCTCCTCCTGTGCGCGTGCGCGGCTGCTGGCGCTGCCGATGACGATCGGAGCGGCGGGATTTTCAGGGTTTCTCTGAAGAAGCAGGCGCTGGACAAGGGATCGATCACCTCGTCTCGCCCGGATGATCGCCTCGGGTCCGGGTCCGGCTACAATCTGCCGCTCAAGAACTACATGGATGCGCAGTATTACGGCGAGATCGGCATTGGGAGCCCGCCGCAGGAGTTCACTGTGATTTTTGACACTGGTAGCTCGAATCTCTGGGTTCCATCGGGAAAATGTGTTCTGTCGGTAAGTATTCCAGGAATTCCACACGTTTTTTCATGGATTCTTGCAGCCTTCTTGTTGGTTTCATCGGAGATTCAAGGCGGGGCAGTCAAGCACATACAAACCAAATGGTGAGCTTGCGCTGATTGTTGTGGTGTGTGAATCTTTCACTTGGGAACTCTTTACTTGCTAGGCACGTCTATTTCCATTCAGTATGGTTCTGGATCGATGTCGGGATTTCTTAGCGTCGACGATGTTACTCTCGGCAAGCTTACAGTGAAAGGAGAGGTACGTTACTTGTAGGTATTGATTGGAGAGCCCACACAACGTGTTCGTTTCAGGTCTTTGCGGAAGCAACAAGCGAGCCCGGCCTAACTTTTATGGCTGCAAAGTTTGATGGAATCATGGGACTGGGCTTCCAAGCTATCGCACAAGCTCGCGTTGTTCCTATTTGGTGAGTTATCACGATTTTCAACATTGATTTAAACGATAGTTTTTGTTAGGTACCATATTGTCGAGCAGCAGCTTGTTAAAGAACCTGTATTTTCCTTTTGGCTCAATCGCGATGCAACCGATGGAAATGGGGGAGAATTGGTTCTCGGAGGAGTAGATCCCAAGCATTTTAAGGGAAAGCACAATTACGCTCCTATTACTCGTGAGGGATACTGGGAGGTAATTTTTTTGTTCTCTTCTCCTCGAGTTTGACTTGGCTTTATCAACATAAAACAGATCCGCATGGGAGATGTTCTAATTGATGGTCATGGCACAGGTTGGTATCCGCGTTAAGTCTACCTGAAAAGCATTACTGGTGGTTGCAGGCATGTGTAGCAAGGGATGTGCTGCGATCGTTGATTCTGGCACATCTTTGCTAGCAGGGCCCTCGGTAAGTAATTTTTTCAGTCATATTTCTTTAGTCATATTTGTTACAATTTAAACTTTTTTGCAGGCCATCATAGCGGAAATAAATCATGCTATTGGAGCTTCGGGAGTCGTAAGCCAGGAATGCAAATTGATAGTTGATCAATATGGCAATATCATAATCAATCTTCTGCTCGCCCAGGTGAGGGTATAACTACTTATTCAAAATGCTCTGGTTTTTATTTTTTGTATCCAGGTGTCACCTGATAAAGTCTGCTCACAATTAGGTGTATGCTCAGCTACAAGAAATGAGTACTTATACCTTCTTTATTTTCTTTGTTGCAACCAAAACTTTGTATGTTTTGCAGACCGGATATTGCAAGTGTCCTTGATAAGGAGCGAGAAGGTATTGACAACGACCTGGCTTGTGAAGCTTGCGAGCGAGCTGTTATCTGGATCGAGAACCAGCTACGAAAAAACCGGAGTAGGGAGGAGATTGTGTCCTACCTTGACGAGGTTTGTGTCCTTCGATGCATCTTTTCGTCCTAATCCTTCGATGCATTTTTCTTGCTTTCTGCTACTGATTACAGCTCTGTAGCCGGTTGCCTAGTCCAAATGGAGAGTCCGCAGTCGATTGCAGTTCCGTGTCTCGCATGCCGAAGATTTCCTTCACTATAGCTAATCACAATTACGAGTTGTCGCCGGAGCAGGTAACCGGATTTGCTAATTTTCTTACTTTGTTCATTCTTGCATTTGTTTTTCCAGTATATACTGAAGATTGGAGACGGGAACAAAAAGCAGTGTCTCAGTGGATTTATTGGACTGGATGTCCCGGCTCCAGCAGGGCCACTCTGGTATGCAATGATACGTTAATTGTTCTTGACCTCGTCAATGTTCTTCCTTTTTCTCAGGATACTCGGGGACATTTTCATGGGTGTGTACCACACCGTTTTCGATTTCGGAAACAAGCAAGTCGGTTTCGCCCTTGCAGCCTGAGCTAGCTTGCAATGATTTTTCCGTTCGATCTATCGTCTGTTTGTAAATAATATCAGTGTAATATCTACTGCTCTGCTGTTTCCATTCTTTCTTTGTTCTTCCGTCCTTGCAAGATCTGACAACAGTTGCAACAGATATTATTCCTGGTACGAAATTTTAAACTATTGTTTCTTTCCTATCTTACATTATCATTTGTCTCTTGCACAGGTTATAAGCTCTATAGATCGACAATGGCGAGCGAGCAGTGTTCACATATGCAAATTTAAAAGGTTCCCGCTCACCATTTTGAGTTGATGACTGACTGTGTGATATTTGCAGTATCTGCGCCATTACTAGGCCTGTCTGGACCATGCTCGTTGCTAAAGCGAAAGGGATGCACATGGGAACCTGAAGGTTTTTCTTGTTTGATATGGTTAACTCTTAGCTCACCACCAGAGAATATGAAGACAACCCGGTGAGTCTCGACGACGAGCTGTTCTAGTTTTGTGTAGCTAGATTTCCAACTGGATCATTGATCTGTTATGTGTGCTTTTGCGCAGTGCTAAGGCGACGAGAGGCTGGGAAAAGTGTGTATAGTAACTGTCGTGTAAGTTTGCAAGTCATTGCTTTAGCTGTGTGCTGTAGTTTCTGGTTTTCAGTTTGATACTGACCATGGTGCAGCCCTTTGAAAGGCAATTCACGTGAGCGTGTCAGGGAAAGTGAGTTTGGTCGCCATTTAAGAGAGCTGATGGGTGGTCCTTCCTGCATTACTCGTCGTAAACAGGTACTGTTTTGACGCTGTTTGGATTTCTAGTGATTCCTGTTTTGCTTTCCTATCTAAGCAAATCTGGCTGTCTCATTCAGCCTGTGGATCCACTCGTTAATGCATGCTGGTTGCCAGGATCTTTGTTAGCGATGAAGTGCAAAGTTGCAAGTAGCGTGTCCCTTCTTTCCGAGTTGGTAGAGCTTCGGCATCGCGGCATTTAGTTCGATTGCGTAGATCTTTAACCTTTTTCATCGCGCATATCAGGGAGAGGGGGAGGGGGAAGCACGACAATTAACAAACGTTTGCAGAAAGTCGCAGGAACATTTACGAGTGGTGGGGGGATCGTGTGTCACTCAACTTCACTCCTTCAAACGAGATAAGTTGGTTTTAAAAAATTTTATCATGTTGTTGACTTGAACTGGGAGTTCACTCTACAAATCACTCGGGGCAAGTAACGAGGTGAAATAATGCTCGAAATGGAGAGCGAGCCCGACAAGAAGTAGAAGACGATGCTTCCGGCGATTTAGAAAAAAAGAGGCCAAGGGCCGAGCGCTGGGATTCCTGCAAATATCACGGCTAAGGCTAAGCTCTGATGCGCATGGCAATCTAACGGCCTGGGTCGTGCCACGCACGTCCGCCGTCGACGCGCGTGTGGTGACGGGCAGCGACGGGCTGAGTCCAAGCAAGAAAGACAAAGGCCAATGAAGGCAATGCGGTGGAACTCTACAGCAGTAGCAGAGCGGGCGCTCTCACAGGGGGATGGCTATGGCCGAGCAGGGAAAAGGGTGTGTGGAGCTGGACTCCGCTCGCTGGAAGATGATTAGATAGAGCGGAATGGAGGGGGGAAATCTCGGAATCTCGGCATTCATCCTCTGCTTCTTGCTGGAATGAAGCGGCGGCTTGGAAGTTCTAGAGCTGAAGTCTCTCAAGCTGAGCAAGGCCATGTTCTTGGGAGGCAGAGTAGCGTAGAGCAGGCGAAGCAGTGGGTCATGGGAAAACAAGCTACATTGTTTGGGAAGACAGTGAAGGCCAGGAATTTGGGTCTGAGGGTGCACAGATTCTAGAGCACGAGAACATAGGCAAGATGCGACACCACGGGTGGGAGCTTCCTTACCATCCTCTGCAGGTAAAAATTGCGTTTTTTTTATGGTTTTTTGCTGATGTCTAGCCTCTAGGTGGTAGCTATTGCAGTGTTCGTGTCTCTAGCATTCGCGTTCTACGTTTTCTTCATCCCTTTTCTTGGTAGCAAGGTCCTCGAGTACCATGTCATCGCTATCTTCTCTCCATTGGTAAAAATGGCTCCTTTTCTTTGGGTTTTCGAGAAAACACAACTCCTTGTGCAGGTCATTCTGGTTTTTGCCTTGTACATTCGCTGTGCAGCCGCCAATCCAGCTGATCCCGGTATCGAGAAGCATAAGCTGTATGGAAAAGGTGGTTCCAACAAGTCGAGCAGTACCTCACTGTCTTTTTCCAAGGAGCACAACAAGAAGAGCCTTGATGTCTCGGCCTCCAGCAATGCAGGGGATAATGCACTCGGCTTCTGTGCTCCGTTTGGATGTCTTGCCGTGGGCTTGAAGAGGCTGATATGCTGTTCGTGGAGGAGGAACGCAGAGCGATCCAGACATCAGGAGGACTTGCTTTATTGTAGCTTATGCGAAGCAGAGGTACACTAAGTCATTCAGGCCAGTGAAAGTTCTAGCCTAAAATCCAGTGTGGCGATCCTGATTTTGTGTCCTGCAGATTTTCAAGTTCAGCAAACACTGCCGTGCCTGTGACAAGTGCGTCGATGGATTCGATCACCATTGCAGAGTAAGCTCTTGTTTTGTTTATGTTACGTGTTCTAGAATGTGGCTGGTATGCAGTGGATAAACAATTGCATTGGAAAGAAGAACTACAGAACCTTTGTGTCCTTGATGGTGTCCGGTTTGCTGCTGGTGAGTAGTTGTTTTTTCTGATGGATTGTCTCAAAGCTTACAACCGTGTGTATCTCGGACAGCTAATTTTGCAGTGGTCAGTAGGAGTTTTCGTGATCGTCAGGTGCATGCTCAATCGTAAGGAGTTTCAAGACAATATTGTTTCGAAGCTGGGAAGCAGTTTCTCTATCGTGCCGTTTGTCGTTGTAGTGGTAGGCCAACAATGCCAGCAATGTTTTTCTCGACTTGACTAACGAAAAGTGAAACCAGGGTCTCTGTACAGTTCTGGCGTTATTGGCAACATTTCCTCTCGGGCAACTTTTCTTCTTTCATCTCATACTGATTCACAAGGTATGTTCTTCCTAGAATCCTTCCGAACAGCTACAAAGTTGACATGACTACGTGGTACAGGGAATCAGTACATATGATTATATTGTCGCAATGAGGGAGCGGGATCAACTACAAGGTGACATGCACAGCTTGCAGTCTTCGCCTGTAAGCTCGGTTGCAACCGCCGTTAGCAACGTAAGTTCTCTCGGAGCTTTGCAAAGGAGGCCATGGTGTACTCCACCAAGATTGCTGGTGGAGCATCAGGTAAGCTCGCTTCTTTACATCTCTATGTGAGCGCCAAGCTGACGTTTGTGAACTTAGGACACGCTTGTGAAAGATCCTCTAGGCGGCGACATCGAGAGCGGCAGCAAGGAGATTGTCCCGCTGCCTCTGAAGAAGGACGAGGCCGGAAAGAAGGCGAAGAAGCCAGTCAAGATCAGCCCCTGGAAGCTAGCCCGTTTAAACGCAGAAGACGCCTCGAAAGCAGCAGAGCGAGCTCGAGAGAAGTCCTCGGTGTTGAAGCCCGTGGGGAACGACGCCTCGATCATAACCGAGACGGACAGCAGCCCGGAAAGTTTCGGCAGGAGTCCAGGTGCCGAGATAGTCCCACTCCCATCGAGCCGAAAGACGAAGAGAAAGCGCGACATATCCCCGGCGATCGCCAAGGACACCAGCGGCAGCAGCAGATCATCGAAGCAGCACTGGGAAAAGCAGAAACTCCCATCGTCCGTGGCGGAAGGTGGCGGAGTTCCAAAGCATCACAGCACCAAGAAGAGCCTGGGGAGCGATGACTCGGTGGCACCACTGCAGCTGGAGGCCAGGAGCGCGTTCTTGCCAAGCACTCCAGGGAGCTCCGCGATCGTGCCTTCCACGTCGCTCCTCTCGCCGGACGAGAGCGAGAGCTACCTGGTCGCGGGAGAAGTAGCACCAGCAGCAATACCACCAGATCTCGTGGCAGCATCAACCACAACTGGCGTCCATGGGACGTCCTCGCCACCAGCGACGAGCTTCTCTCGGCCGTGGCTCCAGAGGTCCGTGAGCGATGGCTACGACGCATCCGGTGGAGAGAGCGCCGACGATAGCGAGCACGGCCGGAGGCTGGCTCACGCATGGAGCCGCCTCAAGCAGAGCTCCACCTTCATGAACAGGAGCACGGTGAGGAGCGTGACCGCAAAGCCGCCCCCGTGGGTGGCGGCGAATCCAGGTGGTGGTGGTGGTGGCAAGGCCCGGTTTAACAGCGCCGCCGCCGCGAACTCGAAGATCGAGGCCAGCATTCTCAAGCACGTGAGTATGGGATGGTCGGCGCCGCCGCCGCCTCGCAGCAATGGTGGTGGTGCCATCGGCGGGAACTCCACCGAGGAGAGCAACTCGGAGTCCATCTCGCAGTACAACTCCCCCGACCGCGACTCGGATTTCTTCAGTGCCGGGGACTCAAGCAGCCGGCATCTCGCGGCGGCGGATGGCCTCCGGCATCACCATCACCACCAGCATCACCACCAGCACCAGCATCATCACCATGCCCACCACCATCGCAACCGATCTGGAGGCTCGCTCAAAGGCATCGAGGATCATCACCTCCAGTGAGAGCTCTCGCTCAACTTTTACAGTGAAAGATCCAAGCGTCTCCACACTTCCAAGATCATCACCACCATCGTCAAGTTTGGAGAGAGGAGAGAATGGAGAGAGAGGTGTTCTTCTCTCTCCTCCCTCTCCTCTTCTCTCGGCTACGCGGCTATATCCAATCACTTCTCCATATCGGCTTCTTCGTTACTTGTTTGTCCTTTTTCATTCTAATCGTTTTGACAATGAAAGGTTGTTATTTCCCTGCGAAAATTTGATTGAAAGGAAGCCATACCTCATCAACTAAACAGGGAAGCTCTCGTAGTAAAGAAATAACAAGCACTCTCTCGGGCCTACCTACAAGAACTGCGAATTAGTGGGCGTTTGAATGAATCAAAGCAAACAATCCCACCAGATGAGCTCTCTCGTTCGTCGTCAAATGAATCGATCCATACTTCGCTGTTATTTACAGTAGCCTCCACCATCTCACATCTGAAGGAGGGCGTTGCTTATCTTGCGTAGCTCTGCCAATGCCACCATTGCCGAAACGTGGCCCTTGCCACCGATGATGGCCTTGGAGATTTGCTCGCCTTCTCTCACTTTCTGGGACAGCACACCTTCCAACACCTGTAGGAAACAAAGCAACTTAAAACATCGCGAAGAAATGTGAGAGTTTTACCTGGATGTGTTCCATCATCGACTGGCCGAGCGACTGCAACGCCACGGGGCCCTTTGGTCTCCTCGGAGAGTCCCCTACTTCGTCTCTCTTCATCGAAATCTTCCTGAGAGCAGTAAACGGCGACGAGCTCGTGCTGCTGCCGGGTTCCTCCTCGGACGAGGAGCCGCTCTTCCTTGGTGGAGTCCTTGGAATGCGCAGCCTTGCGCTGGAGCTTACACCGAGAGGGTCATCAACAATGACAACCTCGTCACCATTGGTGTTGCTTACGCCGCCTTCTTTCTCGCTCGATCGGCCAGCTATTTTATCAACGTCGTCCTGTGGCGGCACTGCTTCTGCCAATGGAGCATTTGATGTGGAAGCAACAGCATCCTTCACAGGAACAACATCCGGTGTCTCACCATCCGATGATCCGGCATTCGAAGCAGGAGCGACTAGACCAACGTTCCTCTGCATGGCTTCTTCGCCATCCGAAGACTCAGACTTCACAGCCTCCTCGACAGGCCCCTTGGCGTCACCGTGTTCGTTGTCCAGATGTTTACTATGAGCTTGGACCCTGGAGCCATTTGAGCTGGGCTTTGGCGGAGTTACCGTCTCGGTTCTTTCTCTAGTATTTTCACTTGGACCATTGGAAGTTGATCCCTTTGGCTGTTCTGTTGTTCGAGAAGCTGGTCTCACGTCCTCAATACTAGTTCTTTGAAGGACCGAAGTCTTCCACTTTTCTTCCCAATATCCTTCTGCCAGAAACATCTTCAGCAGCTCTGGCGAACAGCCTGCTGATCCCTGCCGCAAAATGCCAGACTTGGCACTCTTTTGTGGAGACTTTGTAGTCCTGCCGACCTTTGCCACCGCAGGAAGGGGAGTCCCAGCTGTTTCCAGTGCTAAGTGCTGCAGACTCTTGGCATTCTCCAAAAATTTCCTGACGTCTTGAATGTGAGGTGAGTTTAAAAGCCTTTCCAAACATCCGGTGGCGTCGGGAGCAGCGAGTAGAGCAGCACGAGAGTGAAGCAAAAGTGACACCGCAATCGCAGAGATGATTGCACTTCTCGACGAAAGGCTGCCGTCCGCTGCGGAGTCACCAGGCGGGAGAATAGCCTCATTGGATGCAGCAAAAATGGCATCCCAGACCAGAAGCAAATCCTCCAGGCCAAACTCGCGTCCAAAAAGTAGCCGAAGCCATCGAAGAGCAAAGTACTGAGGTTGGACGCCAAGTGCCACAAGCTGCGTGTAGAGAGCGATGTCGGCAGCGGCTAAGGTGCGGTAAAGAGCCGATGATGCATCTGGAACACCTGACGTAACAAAGTAGTCGATCATACGAACCGCGCCGCCCCGACCACCCAGCAACGCATCGAACATGCAGTAAGCGTCATGTTCCATAAACCTCGCCGCAAACAAGGCCCCGAGCTCTCCTTCTGCTCCATAACTATCACTACCCTTGACGATGACCTTGAGATCGACGTTCAACTCATCGTGCTCGAAGATCCCCTGACTGTCCTGATAACCATTCACCCCCTGTGAGTCTTCAGCCTCAGAAAGATCGAAAGGTGATTTCATTCTTGACGACTTGTATTCTCCGTCTTCATCAAACCTGTCGTCGAACAGGTCCTCGTACCGCTTCTTGATTTGCGATAGCTGCATGACATCGACGTGAAGTGCGTAAAGCAGTGGAGCCAGCAGTTCATGCATTCCTAGAAAAACACAATAAGAAAACAATAGAGAGGAAAGGAAATGCATTACCTTGCCGGTAGCTCAACTGCGGATGGATCAAAGCCCATACTAAAAGAATTCTCCGGAACATAGCCTGGCAGCCAGAGCCTTGAAAAAAGCTACCATGCTCCGGGTATAACCGAGAAAGATCCTTGTCGATCACACGCTCGATCTCAGCGTTTCTGAAATACTTGCCCCACACACTGTCTGCCAAGACAAAGACACTCGCTCAGTAAGAACAAAAGAAAATAACCACACATAAGACAAGAACGTATGACACACACAGATAAAGCTAGCTAGTTGGGAGGGACCGCCTTCTTCTCTAGAGCTAAATTCCTCAGCAAGAACAACAAGAAAAAAAAATCTTACAGTTCCACAAATCTTGCCAATCCATTGACTCATGCACTTCTCCAGCTCTCACCAGGATCTAAAGAAAGTGGATTATCCATGCTGACGTCGGGTGGCTTCTGGCCCTCCTCCATGAGATGCGGATCGACCAACAATCGCCTTCGTAGATCTGCGTACCTGCGAAAGCAAAGTCGAGAGGGATGAAAAACCACACTGACAAAAGCCCCCTACCTATATTTTAAGCTAGACAATGAAAAAGAGCGCAGTACAAGGGAAGAACTCATCACTCACCTCCGGCGTCCATCGGCGGCAGCCCTACGCAAGGAATCCACGGAATCGCAGCGGCAGGGAAGAACACCGAGTTGCATTCTCCACAGCAATCCTCGCAGCCTCCACTTGCTCCTCTCATCCTGCCTCTCGCTCCGGGGGCTGGTGCTCTCCTCTTGATTCTCCACCGCGGCGGCAGCCTCATTGAAAGGGAGGCGCTGCGGCATCGCTCGCTCGCCACACTCAAATCCGCAGCGATGGCGTACCTGGACCGAAATCTCGTCAGACAATCTAGAATCCACAAACGCGATCGCGGCGCACCTTCCATCCAGAGGGAAGCAATCCAGCTACGCACAAGCCAAGAGCGTGCGTGCCGCCACACAATTCTCCTGGCGCTTCCCCGGCAGCTTCTGCCGCCCCTAGGGTTCCTCTGTCCCACAAAGTTTTTCACTCTAATTCTTGAAGGGCCGTGTCCTTAGCGGAGCATTTACATTGCCGTACACGTCAATGTCCTAGTCATACCAGTCAGCAGCCACGTAATTAAGCTTACCTAGTCTTTCCAAGCTAGAATATGTATTAATAATAATAATTATTATTATTATTAAATAAAAAAAGGTTTTTAATTTTATCACAATGAATTTTGGCCATTAAAATATTTTACTGTGTTGTAATAACTGTTGCTAAAAGAAAAGTTGATATGAAGTCAAATAAATCAATATCTAATCTTCACATTCTTAAGCTCAATGCCGGGGCAATCAATTTCTGTGGCCAATAGTCAACGCTGTCAAACGGTGAGGACATGCCGTTCAACGCTCCCATCCACGCTCATGTCGGTTGAGGTGGAGCATCGTCGAGGACTTAACGTTTTTGTCAAGAAGATCGAAGATTTCCCCTTGTTCTCCAGGTAAGCCAGTTTTTTTCTCTTTCTATTCGTTCTCATTGAGTTTTTCAGCTATTGATTCTCAGCATCAGCAATCTCTTCGCTGGAAGGTCTTTCTCCTCAGAATCTAAATCTGAATGGAAAAGCTTCGTGTTTTGAAAATAGAGCTACAAAACGATAGCAATGCATCAGCCGTCAAAATAGCTTGCAGCGCGCATTCTCTAAATTCCTGTACTCCAGATTCTCCATCGATCCTTCACTATAAGAAACCTTCACCATCGCTTCTTTGCGCAATTCAGCTCCAGTGATTCATGCAAATGCCCATTCTTGGAGTCTTACAAAGACTATTCTGTGAAGTTGGAGAAGCCCTCCAGGGACTTCCATTCAAAGCGCCGTGATTCCCGGCAGGAAAGCGTTCTCTCGCTGAGGGGGCGAGGCCCCTCCCGTTAAACACCCCCACCCGCCCGCACTCCCACCCGCCCCCGCGCCCAGCGTGCGCCCTAAAATTACTTCCACGTGGCCACAGCCCCAACACTTAGCCAAATTTCAATCAGCGCGCGCGTGGACGTGCTTTACGTGGCCAATGAGTGTCATCGATGACCATTAAGAGTGGTAAACGTATGAAATCTTCTCACTAATTTAAATATATGCAATGTAAGTATATAAAGAGTTTGTTTTTTTATTTATTCTTTGCTAAGATTGAGTTTTTCATTTAAAGAGCTTTTCTTTCTTGTCTTCCTCTGCCTAGTAAAAGGAGTTGCTTCTAGACTACTAGAAGCTTTTCTTTTACCTGTAATTCTTTCCACCAAAGGTTTTGCTCGCTTCAAGGATGTACCATAATTATCAACACGCTGTTGAAATTCTGCTGCAGGATGAATAAGATCATCTGGCCTGGCTTTAAAAGTTGCAACCTTCTACTATATCATTTCAAAATCGTTGTCAACCATAGATAAAAAAGCTTTTTCATCAAGAAGATCTTGTAAAATATCCATCATCTTTTGTTATAATGTCGTTTTTGTAACTTTTGATAGAGTGATATCTTCCTGCTTAAAGTTCATATCAATATTTAAAATTTACTTAGTGTAAATTACCTCTATAGTAGTCCTTAGTTGAATTTCTTGTTGATGCTGTATATTTTGATGGATATCTTCCTGCTCAATATTCATATATATTAGTATATAAAATATGTTAGTTTACCTCTAATGTAGTCTCCAACTGAATTTCTTGCTCATGATAAACATCTTGATGGATGTTTTCCTGCTCAAATTTTTATAAATATTTCAAAATCTTAATTAATAAGTGAATTACCTCTGTCATATCTTCCAAGTCAAGTGCTTCAAAAACTTGGTGACGATAAAATAAATCATCTAGCCCAGGTTCTAAGATTGCATGCGA